GCTAATGGCATGTCATTGTAAATACTTCTCAACTCAGGATTATTTGCTAATTGTGATCCAAAAATGTATATATAGATTGCTCTTTCTCCATGACGTTTGTTTCCTCTTTAAATTTTTGTTTCTATGTTTGGTTTTAATCAGTTTCCCTGTACTTTAGGGCTTTGTTTCCCTCTTTTGGGCAAATGTTTCTGGGGACATTCATGTCGTCTGCCGGCTTATGTATTCCATCTTGTAACTCTCTTGGTTTATTAATAAAACTTCAGACGAAAAAAAAAAAAGACTACTAATAATAATTCATGTTTTTTGACAAATTACTAACAAATTCACGTTTTCAAAATAAAAAATCTAGGGATTTGAGAACCAACTAATTTTTATCCACTCAATTTTAGTGAGTTTATAAAAAAAAATCAATTACCGGATTGGACTTTATTCCGACATAAATTATCGGATCCGGTTATTTTGTCCATACTTGATGATTTAGGTATTTTTTTTATACCAAAATATCTTTTTTTTTTACCCTTACACCCAGTGACGAGAAGCTTTGATGACATTTCGATTTAGACTCTGAGTTCTCTGTGACAACGTGTCAACAACGATTTGTGGAGATGATGGTGACGATGATGAACTTCGGAGAACGAAATTGTGAAAACGATGACAAATCCGGTGATCGAGATGGTGGTGACGATGAGGAGACGACACGCAGAAGTCGATACTGGAAATTAGATGGTTGGGATGAAGAGATCCGGTGACAATGGTGGTTTGCACGGTGGTGAGAAGCAAGTAGAAGAAGAAGATGATGGTAAGTTGATGATAAGATCGGGAACATGTAATTCACAAATTTGGTTTAGATTTGAAGACGAATGGAAAGTTTCGATTCAATTAATGTTTGTGATTAGACCCCTTGGGTTTACTAGATATTATCCCCCTTAGGGTTTAGTTTCCTTTAATTCCATTGAATTCATCAGATCGAAGATAGTGTTGGCGTCGGCGGAAGAGAGATTTTTTATTTTGGAGGTGAAAGAGTTGGTGCTAAAAGTGACGGAGACAGTATTGATAGAGCACACAGTGGTGAGAAGGAAGGATTAAGGCCGTGAAAGCCAGTATTGTGGTTGCGAGAGGAAGCAAACGTTTTGGTCGGTGGAGGAAACGTGGTGGTGGTCGGGAGGATAAAATTCTCATCGGCCCCATGTGCTCGAATCAATTTCTACTTAGCCCCCCTTATAAGAAACAAGAGTTTAATTGTTTAATTTAATTCGGAAAAATAGTAAATGACCAAAAAAATATGGGCTTTTCGACATATTTACGGACTCAACCTAATTTTGGATCTAGATCCATATTTGTTGGGTCGAGTTTCGGATCTTTGAATTCCCAATTCTAACTTTCGATCTCTAACCCTAATTTTCTATATGTTTCTCTTTTTCTCTCTCGAAAACAAATCCCCGACGAGAGCTGACGAGATACCTGACTAGACTCCGCCGTTCTTCTGGAAATCATAATAAAAAAAAAATCTGAGTTAATAAAAAATCTCCTAATAATAAATTAATATTATCATTCATTAGGAAATCATAATAAATTATGTTCATTTGAATATTATATTTCATAATCTTCACAATATATTCCATCACATAATCCCTAATTGTGCTTTTGATATATTTGAATATCTAATATTAAATTTTTACGGGATTCTCAAAATATCTTTTATAATAAATGTTTACCGAAACCAATTCAAAAAATATATGGTTACTGACGATATCCTAGGCAATTTTTTTTTGCAAAAATTAAGATATTTTTGTTTGTATCCTAAACCAGACATATGAAAGAATGAGAGTACCAAATTATCGTGAACGCATATGTTTTTGTTGTTGTTGTTGTTGTTGTTTCCTAAGAGCAGTAAAGTGAGCAACAATCTGATCATAGTCGGGAAGCTTAAGATGAACATGCATAGCTTTCTTCAAACTTCTTTCGCCTTCTTCGCTTTCCTTTTGATCCGGAAACATTGTAAACACGTTGTACACTATATGGTAACATTTACCACACTCTTTCTTTTGACGACTTCTCTTTCCCTTGTAGTAGTACCTCCAACATTCCACGTCTTTCGCAATTGGACTACTTGATGATGATGATGATGATCTTGATTTTCTCCTTGACCTCTTTCTCTCTTTTTTCTCTTCTTCAGTCTCTATGAATCTGAATACACTCTGATCTTTTTCCACCACTTCTTCCTCTATGCAATCATCCTCATCACTTAATGCTTTACTACGACTTTGTTGCGCTTGTTTTTCCTCTGTATCCGCATCCGTGAGAGTAAACTTATACACTTCTGTTTCGCTATCAGCCTTTTGTGATGCACACGGCTGAGCAGAATCGGTACCCATGACTTCTTTCTCTTCTTCTACATACTCGCTTTCTTTTACCTACACACACTCACACCAAAGAAATACCATATCACATACTCACATCACATTAAGAAGCTTATAAGATTGATTTTTATAATGATGCAAAGAGTAACCTGTTTGTGAAATTCTGGAGTATATTCGAGCGCCAAAACTTCTAAACGAAGATTGTACTCTTCCGCTATTTCACCTAATAGTTTGGACTTGGCATCATCCGATACTGTGATTATGGAGAGTTTCTCTATAACCTACATTTGAATGTATGCATATATGCTATGTTAGATTTAGAGGTCAAAGATGTACTCTTGCTTGAACCTTAAGCAAGACTAAACAAAGTTTGAAGTTGATTGAATCATAAGAAACAAAACTCTAAATAAAACAAAACCAAGAAATGAAGACGAAAGAGATGTGCACACACGAACCTGAGGGTTGACACGATTACAAGGCAGGAGATTAAGAGCCGTGTCCACAAAGTGTTTCCCATAACGATCACCAAAAAGAATCCTCAAGGCTCGTAGCTCAGGCAAGTCTCCACATCTAGCAGAGGCAAAGACAAGTGTTGAAACAGCTTCGTTGATGCCATTAGGAAGGTCTCTATGTCTTCGAATGTAAGAGAGGTTGAAGAGGATAATGTCGGAGAAGTGAAGCAACAAGTGGTAGAGAGACATTAAGCTCTCATCAAGGAAGAGTTGTTGAGCACGATGAAGAGCACGGTCTCGTTCACCAATACGTAGTAACTGAGCTATATCGTTTCGTAAATGTGAAGAAATGGCGTATTTCTTGTTCTTGAGTAGCTTTAGACGACATTGAAGCTGTTTCACTACACTCTTACACTTGGAGGTTTTTCTCCATCCGAACAAAAAACAAAACATTGTTCTATTGGTTTGTATCTGAAACTTCAAAGATTAAGAATTGCTCATAATGAGTGAAAACAGAGGATTCGAGAGTTTGTAGGAGAAAGTGGGGTTTGATGATTGTGGGGAAGTGGGCAAACTCGCGGTTAGTATATTTTATTTTATCAGAAGATATTTGTTTTTTATTTTTTTTAATCGGCAATATGTATTATTTATTAAGACCCAAAACATGGGTAGTACAAGTGGTTTTCCAAAGCCCAACAACTTGGACTTTAACATTTTGAAAATTAAAGCCCAACATATATTATCAGAAAAAGATACATTTGCAATATTAAAAGCCCAAGATTAAGACACGTGTGGGACGCGTGTAATGCATCTTATTGGACGAAAAAACAACACCGATTGAATCTCCAAAGCTTCACCGTATGTGGTCTTCCGCTGTAATACCCTGGTTTCAGGAATATGGTGGTGCATGCGGAGAGGTTTAAAAGAATTAATTTGGCCGGGGAGTTAAGGGATAGGGTCTCGGTTGTCGCAGATCTGGCTTATTCCGGGAGATAAGCTCCGGGATCGGTGAGTTGATGCCTCAGTTGGCGACGGGAACTGCTAACTCCAGTCAAGAGCTTCATGTCATCTTCTTCACAGCAAAGGAGTAGATCTTGTAGCATCGGGTGTGGTAGGCT